ATTTCCCGATTTGTTCTTTGACACTTGATATTTGAGAAAGAATTAAATAAACCATAGCTCTCTCTGTATCATTCGAAATAACTTACAGATTAAAAGCACAACTGAATTGTCATTTCTCTACATTTAGAGAAAATTTCAGAAAAATTGAACTTTTATTGTTTGAGATATCGAATTTTTAATTATTTTTCCTTAATTTTAGATTCTGCTGTACATATATATATATATATATATATATATATATATATATATACTAGCAGCATGGCCCGGCGTTGCCCGTGCTTGATTAAAAAATCGTACGACTCATACAGCAATCACTATCACTTGACTTAAAATATTTTTGCCCTTCCTTGCCTTTAAAGGAGTGCCCTTTGACGTGCTGATGTTGCTAAATGCCTTACTTCTTGCCTATCTCACACTGCGAATTTTTTCTAAGCTCTATACTAAACATTAAATCTGTTACGAAAAAAGAACTAAACAAAATGAACACAAAACGATCAGCTTTAAAAAAAAGACTCGTAACTGGAAAAACCGAATGAAAAAAGAATGTTAACAAAAATACTTTTTCACACACAACCCAGTTCTGCGAAATCAGAATCAACATTGAGTTTAAGCAAGTGAATAAGCCAATTGGAGTAAAGTGCCATGCAGATTTAAATTTTTCCCTCTTGTGACGAATGCAACTGTCGATTTTTTGCATGCTAGCATGCTAATTAACATTCGTGTCAGTCAGCTATTGGTTTTCACCTGGCCAGTACAAAATGGCCGCAAACTACATGAAAACTGCCGCAGAAGCATGAAAAAATCGATTATTTCCACTATCGATGGGAGTTGGGAAATGCAAAGTCGGTCTTGGCCTCCCCGCTAACTTGGAGCATGTGCATGTAAATTTTGGTGCAAATCCGTCGAAAATTGCGGCCGTACATTCGTCTCACACACACACATCCTGCCTTATATATATATATATATATATATATATATATATATATATGTGTGTGTGTGTGTGTGTGTATGTAGAGTACAGGTAATTGATCTGTTGTTATATAATCTTGGTGGCTCCTAGTAATATTATTAAAACTGATCCAACGAGAGCTCGATGTGTTTATTATAACGGAGCATATCTATATTTTACAGCAAATAAAAAATTAACTCAACATGGGAACAGTCTATTTCAAGCTGGTCTGTACGCAGCTATCATCAGCCCCTAAGTGTTTGTCTTGAAGCATTGTTTTAAATTTATTTTCAGTGTCAGTCCTCCTCTGTTAGGTGACTTGTTAATGAGAAGGGCCTTGTGTTAGCGACTGGTGGAATGCGTAAGATATCTTATTCTGGGGAAGCGGTATGGAGTTGTAGTTTATTTATGGCTAGAGCTTTTCCTTGTTTGTAGCTAAATATCAGTTCCTACTATGTGGCGTTGCCTATACAAGCACCAAATATGTTTTCCTGGGATTCACAGTAAATAGTTTTTTTCTGTTCATTATCAAAAAATGTCCCCTGTGTTTACAAGTTCTGCTAAATCAAAGACATGAATTAACGGCATTATGTCGGCATTGCATACATTTTACATTAAAATTGTTGTGGTAAACCTTCCTAGAGTATAATGAACTCTTCCCCCCTCTCATAAATACATAGTGCGAGAGTCGGATAGAGAAGTGGAGTGGAGTAGTAGACGCAGTGCTAATCTACTTCTTACTAACACTATTGTTTTGTATCTATCTTCAATATACTTTGTCAACCTACCTTCGTCTTCTGTGTCTTTCTTTCTGGCCCCTAACCTGGTCACAACAAAAATATAGTTAAAAGATTTTGTCATAAATATTTTATGCATTACAATTACATAGACATTATTTTATAAGTGTATAACGATCCACACAATTTTTATTTGATTTTTTCAACTTTAATATTGCCTTGTTTTACCGCCCATTCAATATAATTAGCATCGTATATTAAAGTTCCATATTCTTTTTTAACTTTATTTTTTTTTAACTTTAAGAAGTGTCCGTACTATAAAAAAATTGAAAATTCTGAAAAATATTTTTTTGTTCAAGGTAACTCTGTGTCTACTTCACTAAATCTGAACTCAGTATTTGACTACAATTGGTTCACTGAAGACTTGTCTAGAGTGTCATTTTATCACTTTACATTTCTGTTATGGTCCGGTTCCTTGTACCACGGTGATAGTCCAAGGTAGAACCAATAAAGAAGAACTCGAATACGGATATGGGATAACACAGATATATTACAAACAGGAATATATACAGAGAAGTAGAAGTGTTAGTATGAACAGTCAGGTTTAGTAGAGAGAACAATGTAGTCTCGACCAGTATCACTATTCCAATGTTTTGTAATAATTGTCTGCACGCGACTCTGTTTCGGACTGCCTCTGACTCGACTGACTGACTCGCTCGCTCTGACTGACTGACGGACTTCACTCCAGACGGACTTCACTCCAGACTTCAGACTGAACTGTATTTAGTCACCCCACGCCACGAGGGCATCATGTGACACAAAGCCGGTTTAACGTGGGTTCTCCGAGCCCGTGGGCCCGGCAAAAATATGCCCATTGAACCCGTATAAACGGGTTCAGGGTCGGTTTACCTCCCCGAAAGAGACTCCGCCCTTCGGCGTAGCCTCGTTCGGGTTCCTCCCCGCCCGAAGACAGAGAGTTCAACCGATTAGCCGGTCGCCCGACTTCAGACTGAACTCCCTGCTTCCTCTTGAGGCGCAGTATTTATTACGTATGGAATAGTCCATTATGTTATTAGGGTAAGGTCCCATAACAATAACCCACCTCCCTATACCCTCTAAACTTATTTTTCATTTTTTTTTCTATTTTAGCTAAACTCTGATTTTAATTGGTTAATCCAGACATGCCCACAAGTATATATTTTTTTAATTCTGACATAAGGCTCTGACCCACCTTTCAAAAGAGGTAACGATTTGTTTTCAGATTTCCCAAATAAATCATTCTTTTTATATATTATCTACTATCGCCCGAAGAGAAACGATTATAGTTCCGAAACATGAAAGTTTTTGTGTAGCGATGCAAAATGTTTTTATTGTAATGTATTAAGATAAAAATATTTTAATAATATCTATGTATCTATCTATGTCTGTTCATTATTTATCTCTATTCATTATGTTTCTGTCTGTCTATCGATCTATGTCAGTTCATTATCTATCTATGTATTTATCTGTCTGTTCATTGTCTGTTGATCTATCTATCCATTTCTCGATATTTCAGAGATGAGGTATTGTAATTATTTACATTAGTTACATTGTTCGGAATGTTGTCCTCATCTATATTGCCATATTAACGACGTTTTGGCCGTTGTACGCTCCGGCATTGGTTAGGTGATTGGAATTTCAAACTGAACACTTTATTTTGACTGCCGGTATACGTTATACTAGCTCCATGTGCCATGCCTCTTCTAGTGATCTCCCTTTAACTCAACTTTCCAAGTTTTTGTTCACCAATGCAGTAGCCTGATATTGAACTAACAACTCTTTGGGATCATATATATATATTGATAGGATGATGGCTTTCCAATGGGCTCACCATTATCAACAGCAATGGCAAACATATACATTGATTACTTCGAGAAAACGCCATTAGAATCAGCATCACTAAAGCCAACACTTATACTTAGATATGTAGAAAAAGACTGCGTTAGACATATATAAAACAACTACAATAAATAGATAGATAGATAGATGGATAGATGGATAGATAATGAACAAACTTAGATAATGAACAAATATTGATAGATAAAAAATGAACCAACGTAGATAGATAATTAAAAGACTTAGATAGATAGATAGATAGATAGATAGATAGATAATGAACTGACGTAGATAACGATAAGGAAAAGATTTAGATAGATAGATAGATAGATAGATAGATAGATAGATAATGAACTGACGTAGATAACGATAAGGAAAATACTTAGATAGATAGATAGATAGATAGATAGATAGATAGATATGAACTGACGTAGATAACGATAAGGAAAAGACTTAGATAGATAGATAGATAGATAGATAGATAGATAGATAGATAGAGAGAGAGAGATAGATAGATAGATATGAACTGACGTAGATAACGATAAGGAAAAGACTTAGATAGATAGATAGATAGATAGATAGATAGATAGATAGATAGATAGATAGATATGAACTGACGTAGATAACGATAAGACTTAGATAGATAGATAGATAGATAGATAGATAGATAGATAGATAGATAGATAGATATGAACTGACGTAGATAACGATAAGGAAAAGACTTAGATAGATAGATAGATAGATAGATAGATAGATAGATAGATCGATCGATCTTCGGTTACTATTTTATCTATGCAGATGATGGAACAACGAAATGAGAGACTTCCAAAGTTTTATAGACATGGAACTGATCGTCCATCTTAGAACTAACTTAACTTTTGTGATCTAATGAGAACTGGCATTTTCAGTGTGAATTTACCATAGGCCCACATGCACGAATGTGATATGTATGATTTAACCCTTTGTACGTAGCACAGGGGCTCCTAAGATCTAAGGACAGCAGCTCGTCAGAACATTTAACATGAAATTAGTTATAGAGTAACGATAGTATTGAGCTGTTTAACTTTGCGGGAAAGATGTTGTAGAGGCGGGAGTCCATCACTCATAATGCTGCATAAACAGTTTTAAACACTATCAAAGCGGGGAAGTGTGGATTGCATATCTCCCGTCCTGATAAGACAACAGTACTCCATTTTTGGTCTGATCTGTCAATTGTATATATAGAGCATGGCAGGAGGAGTTAGATTATCTTGAAAAACGGATTGATTGATCGATTGTTCTATCCTACATGTGACGTAATAGGTAAAGTGGTAGTGTATCCATGTCAGTGTAACTCTCTCCTCCATGGGATGAGGACCGAATTGTTATAACGTGAAAAGAATGCTAAAGCCATATCCATGGATACTACTGTTATTCTGTCACAGATACGCTACCATTTTACCTATCATGTCACACGTACATCATTCGGTTGAATCCATTTCTACAAGTAGGGCAGAACGGAACATTATATTATTGTTCAGTTGCATATCCATTAGCAGCTACAACTCTGCCCAGCCTAAATTTCGCGTCATGTCTTTATCTTTATATTTTTATCGCCACTTCGGCAAGCGCATCATTTGTTTTGTTTTTCTAAAGACTCATTAGATCGATCTACATCCAACTTGTACAGAGGAAGCTCAGTTTCGATGGCGGAATCGAGTATATTCGACTGAAGAGCAAAATAGGCGCGAAAAGAAAATAGTTCACATCCGGGCTTCTTGGTGAAAAAATTATCCAGTCGCTAATTAGGTGGACCGCCCAAGATTGGATTTAGTCGGCTGAAACACATGAAAAAAATAAATAGTAATGAAATGTGAAAAAATAGTTTGCATGGGGTTAGACGTTTAGTGTGGTAACAATTGGGAAGATGTTGTATCAGTACATTAGATAGAGAGAGATGGAGACAGAGAGACACAGACATACTGAGAGAAAGAAAGGAAGTAACACAAGAAGATAGATAGATAGATAGATAGATAGATAGATAGATAGATAGATAGCATATTTTCGGCTGGAGCTAGTAATCACTGTTAGAATTAAAATCAACTCATGGTTTCAAAGTCGGATTTTCTGAAACGACTGACGCAACACAGTCTTCCCTCTCTTTTTCCTCTCACTTGGCGTAAATCTGATGTAAGATGAATTCAGTAAATACATTTGTACAATTATCTTTTTCATCCCTACACAGACACATACACACACACACACACACATACATACATATATATATATATATATATATATATATATATATATATATATATAGAGAGAGAGAGAGAGAGAGGGGATAGAGAGAGAGAGAGGGAGATTTTTGATCTGATGAAGCTTAGAATGGCGAAACACGAAATCAAATCTATTCTCAATGAAACGTTTTCCATTTTTCAAATTTCTTAAAAACTTTGTCGGGATATATATCCTATATTAAAAACACCCCCCTTTCGTGGCTTGAGCATTTTGGATGAAAGGGAATTTGTCGGATGCTGCTAATTAACGCGAAAAGCTCATCACTATGAATTGAGCACTTTGGTAGCCGGTAGTGTTTATATCTATGTTTATATCTATATTTAAATGCGTTAAAAATGCCATTTCTTCGTCGCGTGCTCTAATGGCCTTAGGGTGATAGTATCCGACTGATGTCAAACCTATCCAGACTGATGAACTCTGATACAGCGAAACAGTCAGTCTGTAGATGACTATCCGACTGATGCCAAATCGGTCAGGTTTTCGTCCCGGTTTGAAGCGATCGGATGTCTAGCCACACTGGTGAGCTGTAATACAGCGAAATAGTCTGTCTGTGGATGACGATATATATATATATATATATATATATATATATATATATATATATACACACAGATCATTCTAGGTAACACGCTCTTACCCAGAAACTGTAACTAAGGTTTGCTTAAAATAGTTGCAGTATAACCACAGGTTGGCTCAGCAGGTAATATTTAGACCCCCCACCCACCCACGAGAGTTACATATGGCACAAGGCCGTTGGGTGTCAGAGCAAGAGTTTTCAAATGTGAAAAAAATCTGCAATATAGATTTGCTAGCCGCCCTAGTAAATGTGTATCCTCGAATACGAGTGGCCAGCTATAAATATATATATATATATATATATATATATATATATATATATATATTTTCGTTGGGTGTGTGTGATTATCACTGATATTGAGCGCTTTCCAATGAGTACCACGTATATATATATATATATATATATATATATATATATATATATATATATATATACATTTTACATATATATATATAGTTAAATTCCCAGATGAATTCTGAAAAAATGAAAAATAATAATAATAATCCCTTGCTTTAAAAGGTAATTTACATTAACCAGAAAAAAAAAGCTTAGACAGAAGCGTCTATCTTTTTAAATTTGGATTTTTAATGTAACTATAACAACAAAAACATTTCGATTTCATTTTTGCCTTGAAAAATTCGAAAGACGAAACGCGACGGCAAAATGTAAGATTTTTTCCAATTGTCATATATATATATATGTGTGTGTGTGTGTGTGTGTGTGTGTGTGTGTGTGTGTGTGTGTGTGATTCGCGGACAGTACGGATCACTATATCACCGCTCCTCAGTGCGACTAGAAATCCGAATGCCTCAAGCCAGAATCGAAGCCCAAAAGATTTGGTGTCTGTAGAACTTTCTACCACCAAGCTATCTTCATTCGGCTGAGTGAAACAGCTGAATTTAGCGTATTGTTTTTACGAAATTAAACAAATGCCAATCAGCCGGAGTTCTCTATTCATTTTACTGAAGAGCTTTGCAGGTGGCTGTTGTTTATAGAATTACCTTATCACTCAACAGTGCACACTAGTCGAGAAACAGCTGCCGAGGGTTTTCGTTTAAATAACACCAGCAACTTTACCTTACTGTACCAGACGAATTTATTCTGTGTATTTAGTTGCATCCTTGACGCTTCTTCGGTGCCGTCCTATCAGGATGCAGTTAATTATGTCTCTCAACAACTTTCAGTCCTTTGTAGCACTAAGCAAAAGTTGTTCTTTCAGCATCTCTCAAAGTCTCTGTTCTGACATCCATTTACACAGGCTCGTTATATAGGTTACCCTCTGCTTCTCTCCGTCCCACTTGCCTTCAATATGTTCCGTGAGTGTCAAATTCTCCAACTCTTCTTTCCTTATTATGTGTCCTAGAAATTTCAATTCTCTCGTTCTGATTTTCAATATTAATTTGTTCTTCTTTTATGTCCCGTGTCCCTACAAGACGTTGGCGGTGATGGCTCTCCACAATTTCTAGTCCTTTGTAGGTTATGCATTATTTTTCTGTCCTGTGAGTAAAGGAATGTCTTTTTCTATGTGCCGTGTCCTTTCGGGACGTTACCGATTATGGCTCTCCACAATTTCTTGTCCTTTGCAGCTCTTAATAAATTTTGTCTCATAAACCTTTCTCTGCATCAATTTACTCAAACTCTCTAGTTAGGTTATGCGTTGTTTTCTTTTGTCCCTCTTGCCGTCAGTCTATCTGGTATAAAATTTTACAAGCATTTTAGAAATTTTACATGTCTCTTCCTGGTGTTAAGAATATTTTTTTCTTTACATTTTCTTCATTTGCTTACATATCCAGTTGATAGTATTCTCAGCATCCTTCTGTAGAACCAGATTTCTGTTGCTTTATGTCTCTTCTTCAACTGTGAGGAAATTGTCCAGCATCCACTGTTGTATAGGCGGATTGATATTACATAACAGTTTCCTACTCTTCTAACAAACATTTCCTGTATATTAATACTTTGCTTAGCTTTTGGAAGGCATCTTTCGTTATGTCAACGCGCCTTCAAATTTCAGTGTCGCGCTTTCTGTCATCTGTTAAAACACTTCCCAGATATTTAAATTGTTGTACTTGTTTGATGTCGTTGTCTCTATTTTGTAATTTGCGTGTCAGGCTCGTCCTTTTCCTAACAACCAAACAACCATGCATTCTACCTGCCTGAAATTGAGGATTAGTCCTGTGTCATCTGAATATTAGGTTGTCCCAAAAGTTCGTAAACACTTGCAAAAAATTGAATTTTTATGCAACCCAATCCAGCACAATCGAGACAAGCGATGGGTTTAAAAAGGGCAAGAGACACCGTCGGTTCTAAAACAAGATCGATTCGGCAAGAAAGTCATGTTGTGCGTTTGGTGGAACTTTGAAGGAATCGTGCATTTTGAGTTGGTTCCGAATGGTCGTGCCATCAGTGCCGAACTTTACTGTCAGCAAATGGAGCGGGTCTACGAAAAGTTGAAGCAAATGTACACGACTCTGATCAACCGAAAGCGCGCTTTGATGCAGCAGGACAATGCCAAGCCACACACCGCCAGGAAGACCAAAGACATGTTTGAAGAGCTGGACGGCGTTGAGGTTCTGCCACATCCAGCCTACAGTCCTCCATCAGATTACGGCCTTTTCCGCTCAATGCAACACTTTCTGAAGGGCCGCCGATTCGACTCGTTTGATGGAGTCGAGGAAGCGTGCCAAGAATTCTTTGATTCGAAGCCGGCTGAATGGTACTTTCACCAGATCCGAAAGCTTGCAGATCGATGGCAGAAAGTCTTGGAAAATGATGGTCGTTATTTTGAGGAATAATTTTTGTTGTTTTTGTTAATACTTGGCGAGTAAAATTTCAAGTTTTTGCAAGTATTTACGAACTTTTGGGACAACCTAATATCTTATGTTGGTAAGATTGTGGCAACCAATAAAGAATCGCGGCAGGACGATTATGCATTTTTTTTTGTATTGTACGAATACTTTTTTCACCCATTAAAATGGATAAATGGGATTCATTTCTATCAATTTTTTCTGCTTTGTATACATATTTAGTAATTATACATCTGTGTGCGGTTAATTTTATGAAAGGTGTATTTATTCATTAGTTAGAAATACAATGAATTAAACATTTCTATGTGTACGAATATTTGTTTCCCCCCCCACACACACACACACTGTAGATAGAAAGATGCCAACAGATTGGTAGGCATCCAAGAACAAAGAGAAAAAAGATATAGATAGATAGATAGATAGATAGATAGATAGATAGATAGATAGATAGGAATCCAAGAACAAAGAAAAAAATAGATAGATAGATAGATTAGTAGGCATCCAAGAACAAATAGATAGATAGATAGATAGATAGATAGATAGATAGATAGATAGATAGATAGATAGATAGATAGATATCAACAGATTGGTAGGCATCCAACAACAGATAGATAGATAGATAGATAGATAGATAGATAGATAGATAGATAGATAGATAGATATGAAAATGACTGAGATAGAAAATAATACAGTATTAGATAAACAAGAGCAGACTGGGATAGATAGATAGATAGATAGATAGATAGATAGATAGATAGATAGATAGGGATATACACATTTCCTTGTAAATCAACTCATCTGTCAATTCAAGTCTTTTCTTCATCTGTTGAAGATTGTTCAATATTCACTGCCTTATATGAAATTACATATTATTTTTCGACATTTTCCTATGTCTTTGTACTTTACTTAACTTCTAAAAGTCATCTTTGATTATTTCATAGGAAATCCATAAAGAAAGTGCAACCGGAAATAAAATATATATATATATTGATAAAATTTATCGAAAAAAGAAATAACGCTTCATAGATAATTTGTTTTGCATTCAAACAAGAAGGATGTCTCCGGCGGAAAAAAGGTAGGGTGCGCTAAAATAAACTGTTTATAATGAGGTGATTGAATCAAATACGATCTCTAATGAACTAGACGAACCGAAAGATTATATATTACAAATCTTTCTCACTTTTTTTTTTTTTTTTTTTTTCAACCAGCTACCTCAATATCATATTCGGGAGATATTTTGAAGCAATTTTTCGGAAAAGGAGACCATATTTTGTGCGACAGACATTTCTCTTTCTGACTGTTACCAACATTTTCATTGTACTTTTTATTTTCCTTAAAACATCCTGGTTTCTCGACTATTCTGTTCGTGGTACTCAGTCCTGAGTATGACGATAAACTACATCCGGCAGCAAGAAGTTTTGAAGAGCATGGAACCACCTCTTAATTGCTGGTGTTCCCAGGTCCACCCTGACCCGGCGTGATAGGGTCCCAGCTATGGGCAAATAATTAACCCCCAAACCCGTCCACAATCCTGGATATGATGATAAACTACATATGGCGTCCTGGGTAAGACGATAAACTACATCCAACAGCAAGGCCTCTGTTCAGGAGGTTTTGAGGAACGTGGAACCATCTCTTAATTGTTGGTATTCCCAGGTCACCCTGACCCGATGTGGTAGCTCCTTTTAGGGTCCCAGCTATGGGCAAATAGTTAACCTCCAAACCCGTCCACATCCTGGACGATAAATTATATCCGGCGTCCTAGGTTAGACGATAAACTAAATCCAACAGCAAGGCCTCTGTTCAGGAGGTTTTGAGGAACGTGGAACCATCTCTTAATTGTTGGTATTCCCAGGTCCACCCTGACCCGATGTGGTAGCACCTGTTAGGGTCCCAGCTATGGGCAAATAGTGACCCCCCCAAAGTACTATGAATGTATAAAAATATATTTTATAGTAAAAATACCAGCAATACGTTTTAAAGCAAAATAACCAAGAATACATTTTATTGTGCTTGAAAGTATACGATTGCATTCAAAATATACTCAGTTGAAGCCATAATTTTGTGTTCAAAATATTTTGATTTTGGCTTTAAATAAGCTAGAGAGATGTTTATATGCCGCTAAATAAAATCAGCCAGCCAAACAACATGAAAGAACACTTTCATTACATTAATCCATATAATATAAGAATTGTTTTAAAGAAATTGTACTGTATTCCAAAATATAGTAAAAATACTGGTAATACATTTTATATAAAAAAAGAACTAACAATACATATTTATAGAGAAATGGCCAAAATTAGCGGCAATACATTTTTTTCTGCAGCTGAAGGCATACAGTTGCGTTCAAAAATTGCGTTGAAGACATAAAATTGTGTTCAACTTTAGATTTAGGCATTAAATAACCCCTACATGTGTTGATATGCCTCTAAACAAAATCAACTAAACATCCAATATAAAAGAACTCTTTCATGACATTAATCCATATAATGTGCTACAATTTCTTAGATTAAACTGTATTCCAAACTCTAACTTTTACAAAAGTATAACATAAAACAGAAATATCACCGCTTCTTGTAATTATGTCCAGACAAACATGTATACGCACAAAAGCTGGGTATCATCTACCATGTATTCACTTGTGAAAGCAGAATAACATATATCATCTTTTTATTACTTCCAAGATCCCAAGAAAATTCAATTTCGATATTAAATGACCCATAAGTAATTGATACGCCCTCAAACAAAAAAAAAACATTCATCCAATCAGTTCTCAAGTTGAACAATATATACGTCGTTTCGAGTTTCCTCTTCATGTGTGAGGATATTGTCCCACTGGTTAAATATTAAACTACAGTTCAGTACTCGTTTTATTTAACATTTTTCGATCTCTTAATACTTTGCTTAATTTTTGAAATACATTTTTCCTTTTCCTATAGAACAGAAGCTGTCTCTTTCGGATTGTTGGGAACATCGTCTAGTGTTCCTGTAATTTATCTAGAGGTTCTCAACAAAAGAAAGGGGGGCTGTAATGTTATTAGTCCTGATCTGGCATCTCGACATCAATCATTTCTTTGCCGCCATGACCTGGCTTCCCTCTGTCTTTTCTATTTTCATGGCAATTGTTCTTGAAAACTCTTCTCCTTGATACACCGACCGCAAGAATCTAAACATACAAGATTGGCAATTAGGTCTCATTGTTTTACTGTGGAAATTTCTAGCTATAACCGTTCTACTTCTCGACTTTGGGTCTCTGTTTTAATTTCTTGCTTCCCTGTCAACTATGATCTTCAAAAATTTAAATGCATCGTCAATCGCCATCTTCTGCCGTCCTGAATCCTGTTCTGTTATTGTCCTTTCTCCTCGCTAAGGTGTCCTCATTCTCTTTTGCTGTCAATAATACCTGACATCTTAATGGATTATCGCTATGCTTGCGGGTGAAATTGTATCTTTTTTAAGTTCCTATTCGTTATATAGAAAGATGACCGACTTTCGCTACACTAAATTGTTGAATATAGACTCTTCGATTCACTCTGAGATGAACATCGTCTCATAGGTTGATGAATCATAAAGCGTGTCACAAAGTGTGTCGCACGCATTGACGCACTACCTACAGTATTCGCTATTATTGTATTACTAATCCATTGGATTAAACCTCCATTTCGCTAATCATTTGTTCCAGTGTTTTCCTTGATTATTAAACTGAGCTTATAGGAGCATATTAACAGTGGCGACGAGGATACGAAACTCCCGTTTGTTAAAAAATAATTCATTGTAAGGATTTTTGAACTCACGTTAAGTAAGAATTTGAAAAACCCACAATATGGCGGACAAACAGTTATTAGAACAACGTGGTCAGTTATTGGAACAACAGTAACAACAACAACAACGAAAATTACAATTATTAGAACATCAAACATATGTGAAGCAATGTTTTAAAACTCAAATGAAAGATCCATTGGCGAATTTTTATATAACCCTGAAGAAAATGTTACGTTTACATTTTTTCTTTTTTTTTTTTTTCGTAATACAGAAAATAAGAATTTTTCAAAAACGATAGCCAAGGCAGACCATCTGAAAAAAAATGGTACGTTTACTTAGGAAATTCTCTCGCTCTGAGCACGAAAAACATTGTAATTACATTTTACCTGAAAAAACAAAGAAATTTGACGTTTGATGAAACTGTTAATCTTGTCTGAAATTTTCAGTAAAAAAAGCTTTCTATTTCATACGCGTTGCCAAATGTTTAAATCTCAAAAAAATATGACGAATATTTTGTAGGTTATGCTGTTATTGTCAATCGCGAATGCGAAAACTTTTTTAAAAAATCGAACTCCATTTATGTTTAAATGTTTCATTTTTGTGCAAGGGTTAACTTCGAGTAAAGATGCAGAGATCCGTCCGCACATTTTAACCAAACTGGAGCAGGACCCGAAATTAACGTTACTGATTGTGACAGAAGAATGTCAGAAGATTCTATATTTAAACCTGATACTGGAAAAACTGAAGGAAGGGATATTGTACAGTAATGAACCGCTATTAGATGAACCAGTTTACCGAGGTACCCGGTGTAACGCGGGTAGGTGGTGGATCCCAAAATTTTGCTCTCGTACCCTTAATATCGCTCACTTTTTTCAGTGTTTTCCTTTTGCTTTTTCAAACTGGACCATAATGCATTGCAAGAGGAAGTACTTTTGAGGACGTTTAAAATTTAGTGTATAAAATTCTGCTGTAAAACACTGAAATAAGTTGAAATTTCGGGTAATTTGCTTTTTAAGCCCCGCGCTATCCAAATAAAAAATTCCCGAATAGGTATATCTGCGTGTAAATTTACATGCTTAATTCGAAAATAACAGAAATTTTGATAAAATCTACCGTTTGCAGTCATTACTGCGCACGACTGATGCAAACAACGCCAATAATGGCTGCTATGCCGTAGCCGACAACACGAATGTGTCTGAAATTTTACTGTCGATAACTCAAAAACGGTAGATTTTATAAATATTTCATTGTTATTTTCGAATTAGGCATGTAATTTTACAATAAAAAATAATTAGATATTTAACGCGGGGCTTAAAAAGCAAATTACCCAAACTTTCTTATGGAATTTAAATACATTGAGCCAATTGCTTCGTCCACCGCAAGGAAAGTTGGCTCCCTGTGCCGCGCCAGGAAGTTTTTCTCCCCGGAATCGATCCTCCAGATCAACAAATCAACAATTCGCCCTTGCATGGAGTATTACTGCCATATATGGTCTGGTGCCCCTTCTGTTTGCCTCGGGGTTCTTGATAGGCTCCAGAGGCGGATATGCAATATGGTTGGCCCTGCCCTGGCGTCTCGTCTACAGTCACTTTCTCACAGACGCGCCGTCGCCTCCCTCTGACTGTTCTACAAATACTTTCATGGAAATTGCTCCGAGGAGCTGCATTCGCTGGTTTCCAGACGTCATGAGTTCAAGCACCTGTCAAGGCTGGCATCCCGCTCTCACCCCTTCACTGTCGAAACCCCTAAATGTAGCCGTCTCTTCTACTCTAATAGCTTCATGTCACGCACCTCTCGCCTGTGGAACTCCCTTCACTTTTCCTGTTTCCCTGAGAGCTATAATCTCCAGCTATTCAAGTGTAATGTCAATCGACATCTCCAGTTGCCTTGATCTATCCACTACTCTTCTCATCCTTTCTTCTATCACTCCTATCTGATCTTGCTCTAAATTTTCTGTAACCCCTTGCGTCCTAGTGGCTTCCCGCCTTGCTTGGGGTGAAATGCTTAAAAAAAAAA